CCCCTCGGGCACGTTGGCCACGATGATGCCGATGAGGAAGATGACGGCCTCGAGCCACGTGTAGCCCAGGATGAGCGAGAGGATGAAGAAGGAGATGCCGAGGAAGACGGCGACGCCGGTGATGAGCTGGATGAAGTGCTCGATCTCCACGGCGATGGGCGTCTTGCCCACCTCGAGGCCCGAGGCCAGCGTGGCGATGCGCCCCATCACCGTGCGGTCGCCCGTGGCGATCACCACGCCCCGCGCCGTGCCTGCGCCACGGGGGGGCGTCGGGGGGGGCCGGCACCCCAGGGCACCCCTGGGGCCCCAGGGCACCCCTGGGATCCCAATGCAGCCCCTCACACCCACCTGGGGGGGCTTTGGGACCCTAGGGGGTGCCGGGACCCCAGTGCACCCCTGGGACCCCAATGCAGCCCTTTGCACCCGTCTGGGGGGGCTTTGGGACCCTAGGGGGTGCTGGGACCCCAGTGCACCCCTGGGACCCCAATGCAGCCCTGGGACCCCAGTGCACCCCTGGGATCCCAGTGTACCACTGGGACCCCAATGCAGCCCTGGGACCCCAATGCACCCCTGGGACCCCAGTGCAGCCCTTTGCACCCGTCTGGGGGGGCTTTGGGACCCTAGAGGGTGCTGGGACCCCAATGCAGCCCTGGGGCCCCAGGGCACCCCTGGGATCCCAATGCAGCCCCTCACACCCACCTGAGGGGGCTTTGGGACCCTAGGGGGTGCTGGGACCCCAATGCACCCCTGGGACCACAATGCACCCCTGGGACCCCAGTGCAGACCCTTGCACCCGCCACGGGGGGCTTTGGGACCCTAGGGGATGCTGGGACCCCAGTGCACCCCTGGGACCCCAGTGCACCCCTGGGACCCCAATGCACCCCTGGGACCCCAGTGTACCACTGGGACCCCAATGCAGCCCCGGGACCTCAATGCAGCCCCTCACACCCACCTGAGGGGGCTTTGGGACCCTAGGGGGTGCTGGGACCCCAGTGCACCCCTGGGACCACAATGCACCCCTGGGACCCCAATGCAGCCCTGGGACCCCAGTGCACCCCTGGGACCCCAGTGTACCACTGGGACCCCAATGCAGCCCTGGGACCCCAATGTACCACTGGGACCCCA